ATTTTTCTCTGGGCTCAAATTTTTTAGGGTTTTTTTTTAAAAAAAAAAAAAAAAATCTGTAAATTCGACAGTGACATCATTAGAAGTTAAAAACAAGACAAAAAGAAACCAGAGGCTAAAAGGGACTATGAAACCCTCCAGAGCTTTGTTTTCCTAATGAGGTTTTGTTACTAGGGTTTTGGGGCAGCTCGAAAGCACAACACAAAGTTTTCCTCTGGGGTTTTGAGCACGGTGGCTCTGTGGCCTCGCTGGGAAGGGGAGGAGCGGAGGGATCAGAGCACGTGCTCGGCTCAGAGCCCTGCCGAGGTTTCAGGCTGGGGCGAGGATCAGGCTCGCTCTGAAGTTATTTAAATCCACGAAGTCCTTCGTAGCTCTCCCTTGAAATAGTGGGAGTCTCAAGCTGGGATTCAGCTGGGCTGACAGCAGAAGCCAGGGGAATTTGAGGATTTACCTGCCTATTAAACCGAGGCGCAGGGATCCAAACACCTCCGAGTCTCAGTGAAATTTTGATCTGGGTCCAGCTTATGTTGTTCTTCCTTAGGAGTCTGATATTGAAGCTTTGAAGTAAGCCTTTTACACTGTCTTCTGCTACACTTGCCCCTTTGATATTTTTTTTTTCCCCAAAAGACAGGCAATAGAAAATATTCAATTTTTTGTTAATAGTATGTCAGATTAAATCCAAAGAACTCAATCCATGTTTGGAGCTGAGTTGCCTGGCTTGATGAGCAGCTAGGCTGGTCTTACAACACTACCAGTGTCTTGAACAAGTGCCAGAGCAGGATTAGTATTCTTAGAAATATCTCAGTTCCTGGAGGGCAGATAATCACAGACTTTACTTGTTCATGAGACACTAACTCCATCCACTTTTAACGTCGGTACTTTTACTGTTTCAGACTGATATAATCCAGGGTCTGCGGAGAATGGATAGCGACAACCCTCTATTTTGTTGTATTTTTGCAGTTTCTGGTAATAACAGTTACATTTCTAGTCTTTCATCCATGGGGATGCTACAGCTTAGCCAGGGGATTACCTCGGATGTCCACTGCATCCCAGCCAGCAGGTGCCGCTCAGCCCCATCCGGGCCATCCCAGCGCTGGGACAGCGACGCTCCCCCGGCCACTGCACCACTGGCGGGAGCGGGGTTTTCAGCTCAGTGGCAGTTGCAAAAGGACGTCGAGCGGATACAAATTACGGCTGGGTCAGAAGAGATGAGCCTGGCGTTCAGTTGCAGGCCCAGGGGAAGCAGGGACCCATGAGAAACAGCCTGGCGATTTATCCCTGTGATGCCTGGGCACTTTCCTGGGTTCCAGCCAGCGCTATTAGCTCTTCGCTTCCAGGCACAATAAATTCACCCACAAGATCATGTCATTTTTATTGTATTTGTTAAGAAAAGAAAGGAGAACCCCGGCCAATAAAAACATCATCTCTATTAGAAAGTATTCCTTGAAAATGACTGGAAAAATATAATTCCTGCAATTTATATGTTTGGCAGGGGCTGTAGTTAGGGGTGTTTTTTAGTAGTGGTCACTGTTTTTTCAAATCCATTTCACTGCTTTATTTTTATTTTTCTACTGTGTGGTTTAAACCAGGCATCACATGGAATGCAATGAAAAGAAATCCTGATCCTCGTTTCATCCTAACTGATGCTTGTGCTCTTTTCCCATGGCACACTTGACATTCTGCTGAAAGCCCAGAGCACCCTTAGCGGATAGTGAACAGATGGATTCAATCTCGAGAATTGTGCCACTAAACAACCCAAAATACCGAAAGTAGCTGAGCAGAAAAAAGTTGTCTGGCACAGGGAGATAAATTTTAACCATTTTTGGAAAAAAAAGAACAAGGATTTGGGGGAGGGGGGAGAGGGGGCAGGGGGAGAAAGAAGAAAAGCCCAGCATCATCTTTCCAGTGGGAATTAAGTGAGTCTTTTCTGCTTTTCCAAAGATAGATTTGCAAGGGAAGTCTGAAGGGGCAGCGCTGTGGGATGTCCTCCCGGGGGGCTTACGATGACAGCACGTGTTGGGAACAAGCATTGCGAAATCAAACCCTCATTTGCCTCCAGCTCTGGGTTTTCCCCTGTGCGTGTACCGGAGGCCACTGCTGTCCCCGTGGCTGGCACTGGTGTTGCGGTTACAGGGGATGGCAGGGATGCTGGCCGGCATCCCGCACCACCCCTGGCGCTTGCCGACGCAGCCTGGCTGCCAGCGCCGTGTCCCTTCCCCGCAGGGTAGCATTGGCGCCGGGGCGGCACAGGGACAGGGTTTGGAGGGCAGCCGGCGGGGCTGGCATGGGGCTGGGTGCCAGGATCGTGGCTCCTCTGGAAAGGCATCCGCTGCCGGCGCCAGCAGCGAGGAGCCATGCTGGAGCCAAGACACAGCTGGGCATGGAGACCTTGAAAGGCTCTTGCCCTGGGATGCAGAGGTTATTACTCACACCTAATTATTTATTAGCACAGACTTCTTGACCGGGGCAGTTTATCCACTCGTGCTGTGCTGACAAGGTAATGTCGGCTCTGGCCTGGCTTGGCTCGGTTGCATTTCCGCTGGCAGAGCAACGCAAGGAGGCGGGTAAAGTGGTGTGACGGGGCTCCGGCTCCTGCTAGCGCTGCCTGCCATGGCCTTGGAGGTGTCGAGCTGGACAGGCACTGCTCTCCTGGAGACTCTGCTCCTCCCAACACCCATCCCTGGGGTCTACAGATGCCAGGCTGCAGTCCAGCATTGCCATTGAATTAGCAGGAGAGGCATCAGGCATGACTTGGGAGCTGGCTGAGGGAAGAAGCCAATGTGGAAACTGGTGGGGGAAGAGAGACTGCATCAGTGTAAATGCCGCGCTCTGTTCAAATGGGATGACTAATGGAGAGCAGCATCCTGCTAGGGGAAATGGAGGGAGAAAAAACTCCACGCAGGCAGGCAAGAAAAGGTGTTCACAGACCAGCGTTGATTTCCACCATGTCATAAACTTGAGCCCTGCTCTCTGCTGAGCACCGGGCTCCCAAGGCTCGATCTCTGGTTTTATTCTTTTCTATAATTTAACATTTGCCTTTGTCTCTTCCTCTTTTCATTAGTTCTCCTCTCATCAATTATTGGCTGTTGAAATGATGGCTGGTCGGTGTCTCAGAGGTTCATTTAACCTCTATTGAACTGCTGAGCTGCAAGTCATTATTCCCTTTTTATTCCTGTTTCATCCTTGAGTTTGAAGGTGCCCTGATGTGTGAGACAGGGCAGCTCCCAGATGCCAGCCCAGTCCCTGCCCCTTTGCCCGGTCTCCCCTGGGCAGCGATGCTGGGAGCATGCCGGACGGAGATGCGAGGGTTAGCTGAGGCTCTGCAAGGTTGACTCATTCCTCAATCTTCTTATTTAGGATGGAAGATCTTGCACAGAAATCAGCATTTCCCTGGCCGCAAAGGTGCTGGGGGAGCCCCTGCTCTGCCCACAGGTTCATAGGGAGCCTTGCAGAGAGGTGCAGGACCGGCTGGGAAGGTCTCCTGGCAGCCTGCACAGGAGGAGGGGAAGGGAGCAGAGCTGAGAGCTTTGCTTAGAGGAAGAAACATTTGCATCCTGCTTTCCCCACTCAAAAAAGTAAAAATTTCTCCTGCCTCCCCTGCTTGTCAGTCCTGCAAGCTTTGGAGCATGAATGTCTCTCAGCTGCTGGTGGTGGCCAGCAAGGAGAGGAGTCCTCCGTGGAAGAGTTGTTGTCCACGGAGGAGGCCCAGAGAGCAGCCGCAGCTATCATTCTACACAAGGCTCTGTATTGTCTAGGGGAACAATTTGTGTGATTCATGAGAGATGTTCAATATGTTTATAAATATATATTTTGACAATTTCTCAGGAGGCTGATGGTTTGCGGGGGCGTTTCTCCAGGAAAGACTGTCTTGCAGTTTTGCCCATGTTTGTGTGTTGTTGAGTGCTGTGTTACTGAAAACATCGGAAAATCACACTTGTAAGTCCACCCTTGGAAGATACGCTGTTTGTTCCCATGTGCTGCTAAGCCTTTTGCACTCTTTACCTTCCTTTTCAGCCTTAAGGTTTAGGGGAAAACATAAACATCCCAGTTCCTCTGCGCAGGATCCACTGGCTGCATGACCGAGCCCGAGAGCAGCTGGGATCGGTGTGGCATTTGTGCTCTCCCTGTCAAAGGGCTCCTCTAACCTGTTTTCTCCTTCTCCCCACAGGTATGCGAATACTCGTCACCCTGCTGTTAGATACTCTGCCTATGTTAGGCAACGTCCTCCTCTTGTGCTTCTTTGTCTTCTTCATCTTTGGGATTGTCGGTGTGCAGCTCTGGGCAGGGCTGCTGAGAAACAGGTGTTTCCTAGACAGGAATTTTGCAATGTAAGTACAGCAAAAAATTCTCCACCTTTTCTTCCTTTCTCCCTCTCCTCTGCCGGAGAAACGCCAGCAGTCAGCAGGGTTAGTGTCCAGCCGGGGTGCAGCCAGGGCCACATCCAGCAGCACGTGGATGAGAGTGTGATGTGGCCATGCCACACAGCTGCAATGGCAGCTCTTAACAGGGCTGTCATCTTGATTCACAAGGTTGTTGGCTTCAGGACTCCGAGTCTGGCTAGGTACTTTTTTTATGAAAAACCCTGACTTGTCAGCAAATTACTGAGGGTTTGGAGTGGCTTTCTTATGTTTTTCCTCTGCATCTAAAGGACAAGGGTGTTAGGGGTTTGGATTATCTCTGTCCGAGGAAGCTGAGATCTCTGACTCCAGGAATTTGAGGATTTAGAGCAAACAAAAGCATTAGAGCTCTCCTAAAATTGCTACTTCCCAAAACGGTACAGGTCTGGGAGGTCACCTAGCACACCACACCACCTGGCAGTGGGTTGAGGAGATGTTCCGCGTGCTGGTACAGACAGCACCATGGAGATGCTGCTGAAACACACAAATAAATCTTTGTAGCTATATTAAGATAAGAAGCTTGATGTGCAAGGCATTAAAGACATTTGTACACCACTCTCAGTCTGGCACAGGCATCGGGGATGGGCAGCACATTTGATCACTTGCTCTTTTCGATGCAAACTTTAGTTTTGGTTCTTCCAAGCTAGGCAGTTGCATGGACCAGCATCCCTGCCAGGTGCTGAGTGTGCTAATAGGCCTTAATTACCCTGATGAGCCTCACCTAGGACCCCCACCTGCACCCTGCCCATGGCTCAGGAGCTCTATTTAAGCTCAGCCTGTGGCTTTCAGCCTTGGTTTGAGCTGTGCTGTTGGTGCGCCTGTCTCCAGTTCTGTCTTTGTTCCTGGTTTTATTAGCTCCTGCCTGAGTTCCCTGGATGGGTTGTGGATCTGATTCATCGCTTGCTGTGTCTGGGGCTTTGAATGGGCCCTGCTGCCAGCCCTGGGCTCTGCCTGCTGTGTTCAGACTCTGTCTGTGCAGGTGCTGCTGGCACTGGGATGGCCCTTGGCTCCTGGCTCATCCCCTGCTATGGGGATGCTCTTGCTGCTCCCCAGCAATCCCTCAGCATGATACTGAGCTTGGGCTCTTCTGCACTTGCCCCTTCAGAGGTGCAATGTAAGGATGCACCTTAAAACCCATCAGTGCAACAGATCAAAACGAAGTGCAGCCTTCAGGCTCCTGCAGAAAAGGGAGGTCTGCCTGGGAAGAATCCTTCCGAAGGGCTCCTGTTAGAGACTGCTGGAGATGTCAGAGGTGAGGAAATGCCCGAGACCAGTTAATCAGGGCAACTCTATCTCTGTAGGAGAAGATAGAGCCTGTAATTATATCTGTTTGTAATCATCTGCTGTCTACAACTTGTATTGTGTCTGGAAGACAAGCGGAGATTATCCCTCAGCTCTACCTCAGGTCCTGTTCCTGCCTTTCACTGATTAGTCCTGTGGCTTTCAGCTCTCTGAGCGGTTCTCTGTGCTGCAGACCATCTCTGGCACTTACTCATCCCATCAGCGATGCTGAAAGGCAGAAAATCAATGTGTCTGCTATGTGTGTATGCTTCTGCTCCTGCATCTTGATGCTCCAGCCTCACGAGCTCTCTCCTGCACCCAAGGCAGGTATTTGCTGGTCACCAAGACCCTTCATCACTCAGAGTAACCCCTGAGCTGTCATTTCAAAGCCCAAAGAGTGGTGTTAAAGCTGTGCTTGGGTGGCCCCATTGCATGGGGCAGGCGCCCTTTGTGGGCACTACTTTGAGCACAAGGAGTGCAGAACTGTAATTAGCTTTGGCAAGTCCTCTCATCTTTTTGACCAGGTTTCTAAAATGCTGTGTGATTTCTTGCAAAGTGGAGCTTTCAAAATTAACCACAGGGGGAACGTTTGCTAAGTAGAGTTATTAAGCAGCCCTGGGAAAGCAGACTCTTATGTAATGGCAATTAGCAGCATCAAAGGCGTCGCAGGATTTTCTTATCAGGGTCTTGGTCCCGGTCACTGAAGGCAAAATCAGGCTCCCTGTGCTAAGCCTCAGGACCTGTGTTTGAAGAGGCAGGAGATTTGTGGGAGTTCTTCTCCTTCCTGCTTCACTACAGCTCTGCACTGGTTCCTGGGTCCTCCCCAGTAGCAGGTAGTGGCGAATTTGGGTGGCATGGGCTGTCCATTGCCTGTGCCCAAGTCCTGTTGCTTGATTCTGTGAACAAAGTCATAGCATTCCAGAGAAATTTGGAGAAATGAAGCTTCTGGCATGCCCACGGGTCAGCTCTGTTGCAGGACAGGGCTACTCCAGCTCTGCTGGTGCCAGTATCAGTGTAACAAATGTGGGTTGCTCTGGTACCATCACCCCGACTGAAGCTAGTGTCTTGGTCTGTGTTTTGCTGGGTTAGTTTTAGACCTGAGAAACCTGACTGCAATGAATCAGTCCCTCCATTTCCAGCTAGAAGCTGTCCCAGGTTGATTGGAGCTTAGTGTAAAAGTTTTGGGGAATCCAGATAAAACTATTCCCATCTTTTCTGTTATTCCTGATTCATTCTCCTGAATCCATAGTTCCAGGCATTGGGATATGGTTCACCCCTGCAGTGGTCTTTAACACCCCAACAGCAAGTTGTATAGGGGTAAAAGGCATGGAGTGACTTCGGTGTGGCAGTAACGGGGAAAGCACTTCAGGGTGACATTGTTCTGCTATTGTAAAGAAGGGCTAAAATATACAGCGCTGGGCCCAAACTAGCAGGTCCTGCTGACCAGCAGCAAGATGCCATCTGCCTGCAAGACAGCGTGGAGATATAGGCAAAGTCAAGCCCAGGGTTGGACTGGAGAGGGTCCATCACTCTGTGTCCTCATGCTCCATCCCTGCACGGAGCTACCGTGCTCAGCATCAGTGCTGGAGAGCCCTGATCATCTGTCCCCTTTGAGGGAGAGCTGCCAAAGAGAACAAAAACAACAACAAAACCTTCACGCAGGGGATGCAGGATTAAAGTTAAGCTCTGGTTTTGGTTAGAAGTAAACAGAATAGAGCTCTGTGGGGAATGAGATTCTGGTCATTTAGTTTTGTCTGCCAAGTCCCACTAAATCCCAGTGGTGTTGTCCTCAGTCTAAACTAATGTTTACCAGCAGGCTGTGAAGGGCTGGAGGATGGACAGGCATGGTGTGCACCAGGGTTGGGGCTGAACAGATGATGGTCCTGGTTCAGATTTTCCTTACAGCCCCATAAGGGGGAAGACCTGAGTTATTGGCAGGACTCGCCTTGGTGGTAGTGTCAAACCCTCCCAGATGAAAACAGAACTGCTTTAAAGTGAGGGTGAGCATCTGAACACAATCCAAGGTGCCAGGCAAGGAAGGGTCATAGCCCCAAAGGTTTTCTGGAGTAAAGCAAGTGTAAGCAAGCTGAGAGACCTGTGCTTCAAATATAGTTTCTTATCTTCTTTGCACACTCACTGCTAGCAGCTTTCTGGGGCATTCAACTTTACAGCAGGCATCAGTTGGAAGAAATTACTTTGGTTTTGCTGTCATTCTTCCTGTGGAAACCTTTTCTTTTAAATCCCCCTTGAAAGTTGGCCGCTTCAAGTAAAAAACCTATTTTTAAATATAGTACATTCTGATAAAAAATTGGGGACTTCTTTGAGGTGCACTGGAAATACCTGCTTTCTCTCTCTCTTTGAAAATTGCACTGTTGCAATGCAAAATCATGCTGGAAGCAAGTTGTTTTATTAAGGACTTACTTTTAGCAGTGACTTTGAAGGAATTACGGGTAGTTACTGGGTTGTTGCAATAGCGAGTTGGCAAGCAATAAACTGGAGTGGGTCACTGCTTTTCAGGACATGTGAGAAGCTGTCACTGCCCGGCCAACCCTGGAGACCAGAGTGGTGCTTCAGATGTCTCTGGTGGCTCAAACACCTCTTCAGCCCCCTGGGGAGCTCGCTGGCCGGACTGTGCTTCCCCTGGCATTGCATGGCAATGGGGAACAGCACTGCCAGGATGGTCTCCACTGCTATATGAGCAAGTTCAGGCAATCCCTGACAGTGGGAGCTGGAGGGGGAATTTCACAAGGGCTTTTTGGTTGGTCTGGTCTGAGAGAGGAAGGCTCGGTATGCATGCGTGGGAAGGGCAAGTGAAGCCAGCAGTTTATCTGTAAAATCTCCAGGATGTGTGTCTCCCCCATGCAGCCCCGCTGGCTCCCTCCTGCCATCATGATCTGCTATCGCTGTAAATAAAGGAATTGGGTCATCCCCAGCTTGTCTGGGTTGTTGCTGCTGGGGCTGCTCCTTGCTTGTGTGTTGTTATGCAGGGAAGTGTTTTCCCCTTCATGGAGCCTTTCAAAGAACTCGGTGAGTTGGAAGCAGGAGAGGGAAGAGAGCTGTGAAGTGCTTTGTATTTATCTAATGCTGCAGGACAGTTATAATGTGAACACTTCAGTCTTAATTAACTCCGTACCTGCTTGGCATTGTACTGCCTTTGGCTCCTTGGCTTTTGTAGAGCTGCGAGAAGCCACAGACGGCCAAGGCAGACAGCTCTGAGTTTGTCTGAAAGGTACGTTTGAGTTCTGCTTAATTGCTTCTCCTGACATCACTCTGTGCTGCAACATTGGGTTGTCAGCAGGATTTCCTCCAGAAAGCAGCCTCCTCTTGGAGGGAACGGATCCTGCTTGGTGCTGAGTTTCCTCCACCTTTTCCCTTTCCTACTCTGCTCCTTGGAAAGCTGAAGCAGGATTGTGCTCAGCACACACACCCCATACTCCAGAGGTTGTGAATAATGTCCTGCATGTGATGGTTGGGCTGGGAGGACTGAGCCTGGGGGAAGATGGAGCAGCGAAGAATTGTTCAGCCTCCTTTGACAGGGGAGAGAATGGACTTTCCTGCCCCACTGTTGTCCTTCCTGTGCATGAATGTGCCCAGGGACAGAGAAAGGAAAATACATTGCAAAGCTGCTGCAAGCCCAGAGAAGGATGTGCACTGGGCAGCTGGCTGAGAAAGGGGTGTTAATCCTTTCTAATGTGATAACAAGATCCATTCTGGGGCTTAGTTTCCCATGTCTTTTCCCCAGAGCACAAGGGTCTCATGATTAGTGGATTCATTACCATTAATAAGTTATTTGGACTATGCCCGTTGACAAGTAACAAGGAAGTCAGATTGACCTTTCCTGCATGTGGAGGTAGATGGTCTTGGCAGAGTTAATTCATTTATTTTGTGGATATTGGGGATTCCCTCATTCTGTGACACTGTTGTTTCTCATTCTTGCTATCCTTCCTTCTTTCCCCTTTTTGGTTTTGCCAGCAGGGTCATCAAGCATAGGAACTAGTAAAAGGTCTTAAATTCGCAGCGCTTGCTGTCAGTTGGTGTGTCCCTTCCCCGCTGTGCCCAGTGACAGCAGAGCATCATGCAGGTGCAGGTCCCTCCAAGTCGGATGGATGCTCATGGTGTCTCTGTGCCCAGGGCAGACATGGAAAGGGAAGGGCTTTAAAAGGGCTGGGCAGAAAGTGGCACCCATGTGATTGATTTTTGGCCTGTCATAGAGAGGACTTTTAGTTTGCAAATGATTTTGCAAAAGTGAGGAAGGCAGAGAAAAGGGAGGATAAAATCAGTCAGACAGCAGCAGAACCAAATCAAGCCTCATCCACCTTTTGCAGTCAAGCTGTGCTTTGTTTTCCTGGTTTTATTTTCCTCCCACAGCCACCAAAGTGTGTCGTTCTTTTGGTTCTCCAGCGGGTTTGTGCCCAGATCTTTTCTACGCAGCTTATTAGATCACAGCCCAGGGCGCTGTGTCTGCAGGCAGTCTTTCTCCTTCAGGCCAAGGCTTCCTAAACGGTGACTCATGGGAAACATGCAGCCTCTCAAATCTGTGTATGTGGCTCATCAAGGGCCTTTCCAGTTACAATGTGTGGTGAATAGAGAAGCATTGCATGGGAAGGGAATTGGTCCTGTAGGTCCCCAGCCTGGGTACATCTGCTCCTTCCAACAAAACTGGGTACATGGGCTCCAGCAGCATTGACTGGCACACTGCTCTCTGGCTGGCTGTGTCTCTGTCCAGCCTGTCCAGCTGGGGTGGGCATATCAGAAGATCAGAGATCAGCTCTTAGGACTGAAATAAAGATAATTAATCTGGGACAATAAACATGCGTCAGAGTCCTGCAGCTGGGAGGGCAGACAGCTGCAGAGTCGAGTGTGGCACTGCATGTTGTGTGTATTGTGCTGTGGTGGGAGAGGCAGCTCGCAGGGGAGCTTGAGTGTGAGGTCGGAGCGGAGCATCGCACTGATGCATCAGCCCTTCTGTCTGAGCACTTCTTCCACGGTCAGTGTTCTTGGCACGGGCATGTATGTGTCTGCATCTAAACATGAAACTCCTCCCAGGAAAGGAGCTTGTGCAGCCATAGCTGCTAATTACACAATCATCCCTCCAGATGGTCCATCTCCCTCTGCAAGTCCAGCTTTGCTCTGGGTAGAATCCTAATTACACTGGCCCACGAGCCGTGGTGTGCTGAGCCTTCCCATCCTGCCTGCTGCCAAAAGGTGTTTGTGATCAGGAAACTCCGGCTGCTGGTGTTGTGGTGGGGTGTTGCTTCCAGGGCAGTGAAGGAAATAAGTTTCTGCTGAGTTTCACTGTTCCACCTGGCTCTGGAGCAAGTTTTCCTGGATGATCAGTTGTAGTTTGGAAGAGTATGTCACTGGAGTGGAGCTTTGGTCAGCATTGTTTGAAGCGAAATGAGAAAGAGTAAGGGATGTTCCCAAGATCACACAGGGTTGTTGCAGGGCTGGGAGTTCAATGTGTAGTTTTAGGGTTGCAGGTTACTTACTGTCTGAGACTCGCTCTGTGGCTGTCTCTGCTGCACCAGGTTTGGGCTTTGAGCTGCCCAGACAGACTGTTTAGAGTTTGCATGACTTGTCACATCAGGCGTTTGAGAACTGCAGAGGTCTGTTGAGCCTGAGCTGGAGGTCCAGGTGCTTTGATGAGAAGGTACCAAATGAGACCTCTCCTGCCGTCATCTTAGGGACTTAGAGTAGCTCTTTGCCTGTAACCACAAAGTCCTGGTTTCAAGAGTGGTGAAGGATGAAGTCAGCGCCAGGGAAGCTCGTCATACCCCAGACTCCTGTGGCCATGCTGTTTTGGTGTATCAGGCAATGCACAGCATAGTCCAGGCTTGGCCTGGGCTCTGAGGGTGTTAGACCCCTGTCATCACCACAGGGTGTGGAAAGCCCTTATGCCAGTGTCCCATTTGAAGGACTTCAGAGCTACTGAGTACCTGCTATGGAGTTCCCTGGGAGGAGGCTAATGAGACATGCACCCATGAGCTCTCAAACCTGGAGGTTTTAGAAGAAAATGTCCTTCCTGAGGCTGGTGGGGCTGGGATGGCTCTGCCCTGGGCTGTGTCATGTCTCATGCAGAGCCCTCCCAGCACGTTCCTGGGTGAGCAGGCTCAGGCAGGCACTGTGGCTATAAGCAAAGATGCCCTAGGTGTATGGGGTCCCCAACCACATTTATTTGAGGGTGCAGGAGCCCTTTGCATCTGAACTGAGCCCCTCTCAGCGTACCCACTAAGGCCAAAACAGAGCTGCTGGGGCTCTGCCTGCCACCTGTGAGTTAGGAGGAGTCACTTTTCAGGTGTCTCTTCTCCTCCCTCTGTTTCTTCTCTCAAGTTCCCCAGCTGTCTTTGCCCACAGTCTGTAGCACTCCCAGTCACATCCCTGTGCCTCGGTGCATTTTAATCCTTTGCAAGCCTCCGCAATACCCCCCACTGTGTGACAAACTCTGCAGGTTGTAGTATCTGATCTTCTAGCAAACACCATGCTAGTGTAGCGCTCAGCCTTTTCTTCAGCTTGTTTTATATGGAAATTTCCTCCAAGTGAAACCAATTCGTGGGAGGGAAAGGAGAAAGCTTTTAAGCAGTCCTGGAGGAAATACATTTTTCAAGTTTCTTCCTTGTCTCTTGAATCTCAGGCATAGAAACTGGGAGGAGGATACTACAGTTTTGTCTAGAGGTGTGGAAACACTGTGCAATGGCAGGGGAATAGCTGGTGAATACGTTTAGTTTCCAGCAAACAATGCCCAATTCCTCTGATGTGCTACTCTTGCCTATTCCTGAAGCTGGATGAACCCTCAACACCCATCTCAAGTAATTCATTGATGGAGGAGAACCAAATTCCCCAGGAAAGTTGTTCAGGGTTAATTTCCCCTCAGCTCTGCCCTGAGGCAATTGCTCTCTCCTTAAAGTGCAGTTGCTGAGTGACTCCTGCTTAACTCAAGGGTTTTGGGGAGCAATTTCAAGCAATTGTATGGAATAACACTAGTTTGGCACTCATTAGAGCCAAATTTATTCAATAGTTAGGTGCATTCAGAAACACATAAAAATACAGCTGTCCTCTATTGAAGAATTACCTGCTTATCTTCTACCCACATATCACTTGATCATATAATTTGTGTATTGCCTTTTCCCTTATCTCCTGACTGATTATATAGCATCATGGATCCCTGCAGCTCTGAACACAGCAGATAAAGTCAGCTCTAGGGCTTTGCACCTTCTCATTTTGAGCCATGCTTCAGCAGTGTGAGTGCCGGTGGGTCTCACTAATGCTAATCAAACAGCATGAAAAGTCCTGGGCTCTGGTTGCTCACTGGTCTGCCCCAGAGCACAGCTTAGGAAAAGGCACATCCTTGCCATGCTGCAATTAGAACACTTACTTATCTTAGCTGTAACAGAGCCATAAACTTTATCCAGGCCAATTAAATCAGATATGCAGTAAGCGTACAGTTCCCATTAATGTGGGCTCTTTCTTTGCTTATGTAAGTACCGAAGGAATTTGAGATGGCCTGTGGCTGGGTCTCTCCTTGTTAAAGTTCAGCTCACTCATCCCTGAGAGGTGCTGAGGGACAAATTTATTGTAAAACTGCTTTGCCCTCAGCTTTTCTGAAGCATGTTCTGAGCATCAGCAGAGCTATCTTAAAATCCTTAGATGGAAACAAACAGTTCCCTAGATTTTTGGGAGGCACCTGGCCTGCTGGGATTTTTCTCTTTATAACCTCTCATTTCAATTTTCAACTGCCCTGTTCACTTGGGAAAGCTCAGGCTGATTTTTAACTGAAAGATTGCCGGTGCCTTACAGGACACTGTAAGCAAAAAGCTTTGTAGATGAAGATAGGGGCTGATGTCTCAACTGTGGCTTGCTGTCCGCAGTCTGAAGGGGTTGAAGGGCAAAGGAGAAATAACACACCCAAACCAGGGACAGAAACCAGCACCTTTAGCTGCTGATGAAACAAGGCATGCATTGTTTGTTCTCATCCTTCTCTTTCTTCCCCCTCCAGGACATACAACCTTACCTTCCTGCATCCGTACTACCGGACAGACGAAGCAGAGGAGAATCCATTCATCTGCTCATCACATCGTGAAAACGGCATGCAGAAATGCTCCAACATCCCAAACAGGAAGGAGTACAAGGTGGAGTGCACCTTGAGCATGGACTCCTACACTCCAAGTTTATACAACCCTGACTTCAGCAGCAGGAATGCCTGCATAAACTGGAACCAGTATTACAACGTATGCATGGCAGGGGACGTAAACCCACACAACGGAGCTATCAATTTTGATAATATTGGATATGCCTGGATAGCTATTTTTCAGGTAGGATTCTCCTCAAGATTTTTGTTTCTTTTTGTTTTGTCATCTTTTCCTTGGAAAGATTTTGATAGATGTACCAGAGGAGAAAGGAATTTGCTTGCACCGGCGTGAAACTGCAAATACAGACACTTCAAGTAAATGAATCAGACAATAACCTGCGCAAATGTTGCAGGAGAGCATTTGGAGAGAACAGTCATTCTTTCAGTGCGTTTTAGAAGAGAGGGAAAAATACTTCTTGAGGCAGACAAAAGTATGGCAAGTTCTAGTGCTGTAAATCAGACCTGGATAAATCCCAGGGATTTTTGAGAGTTAAGGTCTTTATTGTTGTAGTATCAGGAAAATGGAGAGTGTTGTCCAAGTCCTTAAGCAAGAGTTAATGTAATTCTGAAGTGTAGGAACTAGCTTGATGGCACGGTTTGGCTTGATTCTAGAACTGCAGGGTTATACTGGTTAGCATGGTATGCTGGGAGGAAGAAATAATCCTAATGGTTTATTCTGGCTGGAATACCTATGAAAAGATACCACTCACGTGGAATTTGAGTCTCTCTTGATCCACACCTATACAGCTCTTCACAGAGACCAAAATGCTTCTAGCTCAGACTGGGGGAGCCTTTACAAGTGACAAAAACACTCCAGCAGCTGAAGCATTTTCAAAGCATTTGTAGCTCTGGAACATTGGATAGCTCATCTACACAGTCCAGAGCCTATGGTCTCTTAGGGCTAGCCTATTTTAAATGATCCATGTACTGTTTTCCCTTTTTAATTTGCACTTTCTGTTTTTAATAAAAGTTTCTTTATGCTTTTGGCTAGATGCCCTGTTTTATTTAGTCCTCCTGAAGTATATGTGACATCTATTCCTAAAAGAGAAAAAGTTCTTCTTTTGATTTTGTTAATGATGAATAATTACTCATTTAGAGCTCTAAATTTCATTTATGAATTTCCTTCTAGTTTCATATTATAACATGAACTTAATAACTTTCAGTTTTCATCTGGGAGTTGTAAAGGGGCAATTGCTTGCTCTGAGCATCTCGTTTGCTCTCATGCTGTCACAGTAGCACACCTTGAATCGCACTGCTGCTGGTGTCAGAGGCTCAAAACCAAATCCAGAAGGGTTCAGACAGGTCCCAAGTCTCTACCACGCTATGTTTTTAAAAATGCTTTGGTTCTCTCTTGGAATTAGTATGTCAAGACAGGAGCTGCCATAGTAATTTTGAATATTCCTGACTGGTAGTGAGTGGTGCATAAAGGAAAGAGGGAAATCAAAGTGAGAATAGTAGATAGGTCTCTGGCTGCACTTGCATTCTCCTTTTTCTGCTCTTCCATAGTTCTTTGACAGAACTTGATGGATGTGCCCAGGAGGTCCCATCTGGCTCCCACCACGGGGCAGCAATGTTCTTGCCAGAGAAAGGGCAGAGGGCAATGCGTTGCAGAGTGCCTGTGCTAGTGCATTGAAAATGAGCAGGTGATTCTCAAGGGCTCCTGCTTCCTTTGTACTTCCTGAGCCTTTTTGCAGGCTGCAAGTTTTCATTTCATGTTGGTATTTCATTTCCTCAGCCTGAAAATGTACAGTTTTAAGCCAGGAAGAGCATACCAGCCACAGCAGAGGTTTCAACTGATTCCTTTGGGCAGAGCAGATTGTCTGGCAAAGTTGGATATTGTATCCATAGATCATTTTGGCAGCTGCCAGGAGGTTTATGATTGGTTTTAGTGCTGCATAGGCTATCCAAATGCTGAAGTGTATTTCCGGCCAAAACCTCTTCTTACATCTTTATTCCTTTTAGAAGTTAAGGACTCACTTTTAGAAGCTGAAAACAATAAAACTCCTGGTAAAGAAGCAGCTGTTGGGACTAAGGTGCTTGCTTAACTTTGATATGGAAAGAGCAAATCATTACTACTATTGGATGCTAAATCAAAACAATTGCTGTAAGCAGAGAACATTTAACAAATAAAGCTATTGAGTTGTGCTCTCATTACATTTAATAGTTGAAGCTGGGTAGCACCAGCTCAGCAGTTAGATGAGGCCTCAAAGTAAGTAGTGCAGAAAGTAGAACTGATGGTTTTAGTAGCTCAGGAGCTTCCCTGTGAATTGGTATTGAATTACTGGGCAGAAAGCACTCTTCTGTGTTCTGCATGAGACTGGTCCAATTGTCCTGATCCCTTCTGGGGAATAATGAATACGTGGTACTTTGCAAGAGTTATAATGGTGGACTGAACCTCAAGGTCTGGCAAGCCTCCAGTTTGCATAATAGCAATCTTTGGGCTCAGCTGGATAGAGCATCCCTCATGATTTATCCCAAATGAGTTGGAAATCTAGAATGGTTTGAGCTGTAAGAAGGGAGGTTGGTGAAACGAGCGCCACAGGTGAGATTCGGAAGGAAGCTTCCAAGTGCAGTGACTGCAAGTCATGCCCAAGAGTTTCCAAGGATGCAGTTTGATACTGTGCAGACTGCAAACAAACAAAACCAAAAGCAGACTTTGACAGGGAAATCTGAAGATCTCTACTCCAAAACGTCCTTGTGAATGGTGTGCCAAGGCAGGAGGCCGGCAGTACGGCCAAGCTCTTTCAGCTGCCAGAATTTGGATTTAAGCAGCCAAGCTGAAAGACACTTAACTTTCATGGTAGTGATCCTGAACTCGCAAGCAACCTGGCACGTGATAGTGGGGCGTACCAAACAGTGAAATGCATTGTTGACCTTGCAAGCAGAAGAGTAAGTCAGAGGCATCAGACATGAGAACCAACCTAGTGCAAATAATAAAATCTTAAAGCAATAAAGACAATGGCTGCATCCATGGGTGTTTGAAAGGATAATAATTCCTTATGTAACCCTGCAAATGATTCATGTTTTGATTCCCCTCATTTGTTGTGTAATAGGCTAATTCATGTATATATTTGTTACAAAGGCATGTTCAATGGCAAATTATGTGAACTAATTAGCTTATTACAGAGTAAATGAAAGGAGATGGAACCTAAATTAACTGTGAGGTTTGGCATGATATTAAGATCCCTTTATTGCACATGAATTTCAGCCACAACAATAAGAGCAGTAATTACAGGTATTGTTGTCACACTGCAAATGATGAATTACCCACCTAACCAAAGTCCAATTTAATTTGAATTACTGACAATCTTAGTGGAGCAACCAAAACACTGCCACCTTCCTAACCATCAGTCTTGGAGTGGCCAGGCCTGAATGCAGAAACCCCATTAAAACAAAGGGGGGTTGGATGGCTGGTAAGATACATAGTTTGGGAAGAAGAGATGATTTAGACTACCTTGCAAACAACAGAACCATTGCTTGGATGATTTCATGTCTGACTTCCAGAAAAGTAAGACTATAATAGCACTTTACATCAGGAGGCAAGGCTTTTGGTAAAACTAGTGAGGCAAAGTTGAAGGAGCAATAACATTCAGCTAGGCAGAACCAAGATGAGACCAAGGGAACAAGCTGTTCCTCTGCCGCTTTTCAGGATGCAGTTGGAAGGACAGAACTTTGAGAGCAAATGTACAGGAAAAAAAATTACATGGACGTTTCGGGAAATAGAGGAGAGCTTTGGCAGTTCAGAGGGGCTCTGACATTGCTGGGCCTGGCTGAGTTACCTTTTCTATAGCCTCTTCTTCACATGTGGTATTTCAGAAGTAGCTACCTTTTCTAAGGGGCTTCCTTAATGAAGACCCTCTTGAAATTAGTTCTTGGATGCAGCGCTCAGATTCATGATTCTGTTTCTCGCTTATGTTATTCTGAGTGCATATTGCTTCTACGAGGTTTTGCTTAAGGAGACATCTCGGTTAACAAGTTAATCAAGTCATACAAGTAACACATCTCTGGCCCATCATCAGAAGGCCCTAGCGAGGGAATTCTCAGAGGGGACTGTTTTGCATTCAGCAGCCCCCTTGCTGCTGTCAGGAAAAAAAAAAAGCCTTGTTGTGTTCACGAGAGCTGAAGACAGCCCAGCAGGCACAAGACATGATAAGAATGCCCAAGAAAGGAAAAGCTGAATCACCTTCTGAAGAAAGATGTCTGATAGTAGAGCAGCATTAAAGGAACTGTCAGCAGCAGCAAGAGTTCAAGGTGTTATCTTGATGCTGTGCTTAGACTGAGAGCTTCTCTTTGCACCTGGTCTCACCACAGCTAGGAGTATGTTACAGCCACGAAAGTGGGGGTGACCAGCTCAGGAGAGAGAACAAGTTTGGGGTGGGAAAGTGGCGGAATCGATGCCACCCACGTCTTCCTTCATTTGTCCTTCTGCGGAGACTTTACTCCCAAAGCGATGGCAGGCTGCCTGAGCAGGTACGACAGCTGACAGTGACAGCCGTATGCTGCAGGCCACCTGCCGAAATAGCCCTTTTGTTTCCATGTGAAGTTACCTCTTCTGTGCTCTAGCTTGTCAAAAAAGCCCCTGGGAGCTTGTGTAAGCTATCTCAATCTAATCAAGGATTTATTCATTTTGACCCTGTGCTATGTGCTGATGAGGAGCTTCGTTTTGTCTCAGTGTTGCTGACTCTGCTTGTGCCAGGATCTCCACCCCGGCAAGCTGTGCCTGTAGACGGGCCAGCTGAGAAGGTACAGGCCTTGGGGGAAGATCTCAGGTTTGGAAAGAGAAAGGTTCATTTGTCTCATTTTACCATTGTTTAGTGCCCTGATCTGTTCCACAGCCGTTGCCCACTTCACATTGTTTCAGTCTCTGTTCAGCATGATTGAAATCCTTCCCTGAAGATTTCTCCCTTGCCTGGAAATCTTTCAGCTAAATCTGTAACAGGAATCATATCTTCCATTCAAATTAAAGGAAAAATGACATGCACTTCAATGCACTTCTGCTGTGGCCAAACACAAGAACGATCTTGAAGTCGCTCTTGACTGTCACTCAGTCAAGAAAAGAGGTCTTGTTCGAGGAGACAAGACCTGAAGCTCTAACATTGCTTTCCCTCAGAGTAAACCTCCACCCTGGAACCTGCTGGCAGGACAGAATTGTCAGGGTCATTCCTCTTGGTTCCTACTCACACA